ATTGCATTTATTTAATACCAATTAAACTAATTAATTAATAAAAAAATACTAATATTAAATTATATTTTTATTTCATTTAATTTATTAACATTAGAAATTAATGGGAAGTTCAAAATGTGTGTGTGTATGTGCATATACTTAAGCTCCAACTTGTCTGTGCTTCCTCTATACTGAAAATGGGTCAGAGCCCAGGCTACCAGACCACTGCAGCTGGTGCTTTCCAGCTTACACACACACACACACTCACACACACACACACACACACACACACACACACACACACTCATCTGTAATATCCATGGATTTTAGAAGCTGTTGACTTCATGGAAACATAATCTTCCCTATGATGTTTTCCCATATTTCACATAGATTGCAGTGAAAGGCAAATGTTAATGTTATGATTTTGAAAGATGAAAAACTGCTATTATCAGGATTAAGTACAGATTATACCTCTGTAATAATGTGTTCAAATGATTGATAAGTAGTCATAATTATTGAATATTTGATAAATTCAGTTGTTTATGCATGATAGCGCCCTGATGTGTACACTTGTATCTTACAGCACAAGAAACCCTTAAATTTAGCATTCATTGCTTATTTATTGTAAAACAATATTTTTAACCAATAGCAAGGCACAATTGTTAATTGTTAGTTAAGTATTTTATTATGCATCTGCATTCTTGTTTATTGAAACATGCAATAATGGTCTACAATACCTCTCACTTTTTTGACAGTGATCATATAATTCCTTCAGTATTTCTTAAAGTTGAAAGCAGAATATTGACTCATAATTTGATTTTAACTTATCTTTACGTTTTTGACTTATGAGTGCATATGTGCCCCTGCTATTTCGTCATAGCTTTTAAGGGAAGTGGTTGTGATGTCATATCCTGGTTTTGGAAGCCACAAAAGATAGACTGCTTCATGCGGCTCAAACCTATTAAGGAAGAATTTTGCAGAAACAAGTCGTTTTTATTTCCGGGCAACGCCATCTTGTCAGTTGCCTCGTAGTTTGTACGTAGGAATTTTTTGGTGAGTATTTTCTTCCACCCTTTTCAGATGCACTTGCTCTGTCTGCTGTATGTTGGTTGCATTCAATTTGTAGATGCAGAAATGAAACTCTAAGCTAAATTTGCACAATGCACACAGCCTGGGTGGGTTATATTAAGCTTGATGTTGTTGAATATAGACCGAGAACTGTTTTGTGGTTGCTTCCATGTTCCAAAAAGCACAATTAGGCCTCAGGATGAGAAACTTACATTTAAACCTTTATGTTAAATAATACAATTATATGAAAGTCAGAGTTTTCTTATTTCCTATTTTCTCTAAGAAATGCATTACACTCGAATGCCTTTTTGTTTCCCATTGCTGCTTTTGAGTGAATGAGGTTAGATGAGCTACAGAAATAACACCTCCACCCATAGACTATATCAGTATTCATCAACAATTACCCTCTGCTCCTCCGTTGTCAGCTGCTGCTGATGTACACAAACCACACAGCAAAAAAACGTTCGAACAGTTGCAATATTTAAATACAAAGGCTTTTAACAGTTATTATTATGCCCAAACTTTGTTCCCTGTACTACCTCAGGTAGACACCAGAGATGTAAGCAGGCACTTGCTATGCAAAAACCTTAGAGTAAATAAATAAAAGCTAATAGAATTTATATCTCACTATTGTAACTTATTTTCTTCACAAATGGGACTTTATTTCACACACTTGTGACTTTATATCTCACTATTGTGACTTTATTTCACAGTGTAACAACTTTTGTTTCTCCATATTACAATTTTTATTTTTCACATTTGCAACTTTATTTCTCATAACTGTGATTTTATTTCCCACTATTGTGACTGTTTCTCATAATTGCAAAGTTATATCATGCTATTGCAACCTCATATCTCTCACTTGCTACTTTATTTCTCTTTTACGACTTTTTTCTCACTTTTGCAACTTTCTCGCAATTGCGAATATATTTCCCACTATTGTGACTGTTTCTCGCAATTGCAAATTTATTTCATGCTATTGCAAATTTATATCTCGCAGTTGTGACTTTGTTACCATTCTGACTTTATTTCTCATTTGCGACTTTCTCAATTTTGCAACTTTATTTCTTGCAATTGCGATTTTGTTTCACACACTTGTGACTTTATATCTCATTATTGCGACTTTATTTCACAGTGTTACAACTTTGCTTCTCCCTATTACAATTTTTATTTCTCACTTTTGCAACATTATTTCTCGTAATTGTGATTTTATTTCCCAGGTTTATTTCATGCTATTGCAACTTTCTTTCTCTTGGCATTTCTGCCAAGAAGGCAGAAATGGGCTTCCATAGAGATCAGATGAAATCAGATAACTTAGACAGTACAGTGCTCTTCTTAAGATTCCTTGATGAAATGCCGCAGACATATGATTTTCATTATATAACAAACTTATCTAGATTGATTGTTTATTGATGTCTGCTGTGATGAGATTCAACATCTACACCTTTACATGCTTTAGATATGATACTTTGTTTTGAAAATGTTTTATCAGTATTGTTATAGTTATAAGTTATAAGTCCTTGTGTTATAAGGGCATGTTTCAGATAACTGGTAATATTGTTGTACAACACTTTGCAAGAGATAAGCCTTCACTAAACCTTAAGTGTGAAAAAAAATGTTACATAAACAGCTAGGGTTATCATAAAGTTACACTTTATTAAATCCTTTATTTGACATGCTTTGGTCTCTTTCCACAGGCTAGCATTAGTTTGATGGTTTAATTTTTATGCCCGATAGCCTTCTGATTAATCCATCTCTATGAAACATCTCAAGAGATCACAACCTCCCAAAACACTGCAGCAGTTATGTTGATTATCTCCAGCAGGTCTGGAGCTGTCTGCCTCAAGTCACGACAAAACACGCTCTGTTCCACTCCAACTTTACTGAAGGAGGAATACAACTGTAGGCAATGCATTTTTACTGCTATGTTCTGAACTGTCATCAGCTTTAAAGTGATGTATTGCTTCCTACCAGCCTCCTTCTTTGTTTCATTGTTTTATGGGGGTCATAGAGCATTGTAGTTCTCTCTGTGTGTGTTTTCATTTTAGGCATTTCATTAGTTGGTATAGAGAGAGATTAAAAGCATGTCTTCTTTGATACACAACAAATGTTGAATTGGATTGAATGCTTTAGTGTCGATAAAAATACAGTAGTGATATATTCAGGGTAGACTTCATATTTTATGATGGTTTCTGGCCTCTGTTTGCTGCAACTAACTGCAACTTTTTTGCTTACATTATATATAGACTACTGTATTTTTGATTCTATAGAGGCTGTTGAATAAAATATACATTTTCATAATTTACACTACTTTTGCTTCATATTATTATGACGTCATGGATTATGTTTCAAATGGTCTCCTAAAATAAAGGTTCTTTATTAGCGTCTATGGTTACATGAAGAATCTTTAACATCCATGGAACCTTTCCATTCTACAAAAGGTTCTATACTGTAGAAAAATATTCTTTAGATTGTTTTAAATGATCTTTGCACTAAGAAAAACTGTGCACTAAAGGTTCTCTGGGAAACACCAATTGTTCTTCTATGGCATCGTTGCAAAACCCCCTTTTGAAACCATTATTTTTAAGAGTGTAACCAGGGGGTTTTCATAATACCTGGTCTGTCCATACCATCAAAGAGCTCATTTTATGATCACTAGTTTTTGATTGTATGTCCTGGTTATCTTTATAGCCTCAGTCATATGAAGCAGTTGAGCCGGTGGACCTGGATGAGTTCCTGATGTCACAGCTGTGCAGTGGAGATGCCGAGCTCATGCAGGAGCTGGGGGAGTTTCCAGACGACGACCTGGAGGTGGAGCTGGTGGAGAGGGAATGCAGGACCATCCGCCCCTCTGTCCCCGAGGAAGGGTAGGTGCTGGATGCTCCCTGTTGGGGTTGAGAAGGTCAACTAGACAAATATCTTTGTGCTGACTTGAGCAGTTGTGTTGTGATTGTAATGCAGTGTAGCAGGCAGTTTACTAGATTGAGTAGAAATTGGCCAATATCTTTAATTTAGCTTTTAATAAAAGGTGGCATTTGTTGATCTCTAAAGAACAGAACCAGTATACTTATGTTCATTCAACAGAAAGGAGGGTTCACAAGTCATTTTCAATCTCAGGTGAGAAATGCAAAACCACTTACAACAGAGATGAAAATTATTTTGCAACCATTTAGATGCAAAAATGTAATGGCAATAATAATGGTGTTTATATATTATTGGCGTCACTAGTAGTGTCAATTTGTTTAATTGATTTATTTAATTATTTATATAAATATATACTGTATATATATATATATATATATATATTTCTAAAATGTATAAATATATATTTCTAAAATGAATAAATTAATATATATTGAATTTATTATTATCATTTGATAAATAAATACATTATTTTATTGTTTTGTAATATAATAATTCTAAGTATTATACACATAAAATTAAAACACACTTTGTGTTCGGAGTGTGTGTCTGTAAAGCTTTGTGTGTTGTTTGAATGTGTGTGTTTGTGTGTCTCCAGAGTGGAGCTGGATCCTCATGTGAGGGATTGTGTTCAGAGTTACACGCAGCCCTGGCTGGTGGTTAGCAGAAGGTCAATTCACAGACTTCATTCATTTCCTGTCCCTCCTCAGGGCTGAATTTTAAATACTGCAGCTTAAATATTCAAAAAACATAACTCATAGAAATGACACCAGACACACAGATACTATAATGCTGTTGTGTTTCTCATTTACAGATCTCAGGGTTATGGGTGGATTGCGTACGCCGAGAGGACAGATGCTAACAGAGTCTTACAGAGACAGACGTTTGAGTCTGACGTTGAGCCTGACAAACAAGAGCAAGTAGTAAGCACAGTTTATAAAAAACAAAACTCTTTTATACAGAAGCCTTTTTACAACAACAAAGCAGCTAATTGGGATTTTTGTTCACATTGTTATTAGTGTCACTCAAGGACGCTACCCAACCCCACAGCCACTTATATTCCTCTTTTTTGTTTGTAATTATTATTATTATATTAAAGCCTCTGAAGTGTGTCACCACCCGTTCCATTATGTGTGCTCATTCCCTGCCATAAGACACAAACAAAACATATTCATTTCCTCTTAATAAGAAGTAAACAGTTGAAAAGAATAAGGAAAATAAGCAGAATCTTTCTCCCAGGTATTTTTCTTTTCTATTTGTCCCCATGACCACCATCTTGGCTCCATCCCACCTCTGTTTTTCAGAGTCCAGGGACATAATGAGGCATGAATATTCATTCTGTCCCGACTACTTCCGTCCCAGTGCAGCTTTGCCAAGATTTAATTATCCAAACCACAAAGATTTGTTTCACTCCATGTATTTTTCATGAGTTTAGTTTGAGAGTCTGCAGGAACACCAAGATCCTCCCTTAGTTTTGGATCCTTTAAAGGGCCTCCACATTCACTGCAGGGGTTATTAGCAATCCAGAGGAGTACCAAAGGTCCCGCTAGCCAGCTCTGTTCTGTGATGTGTGTCTTTAAGCAAGTGGATTAAGAATACAAATGGTACGGGAAGGTCTATCCCACAGGCTAGACGCAATGTATCATGGGAACCCTGCATGATGCCCACTATCAGAGCCAGTGCATATGGTTCTTATATTTGGCGATTAACAGAAATCTCTCCTAGGGTTTTGGGAATTCATCCATCTCAAAGGCTTATGGTCTTCCTGGAAAAAGGCATTAGTCTCAGAACTATAAGAGCTCCTCTGCTCTATTTCACATGTAGTTATGTGGCAAAGGAGCGAATGAAGTTAAGCAGGCATTGCCAGTTCAGTCAAATCACAAAAGACATACAAAATGAAAGTAAAATTAAAAACAAAAGTATATGAAATGAACTACTTTCCAATCTTATGTCTTTTGTGAATACTGACTGAGCTGGCAATGCCTCCTCAACTTCATTGGCCACATAACTACACGTGAATTAGAGCAGTGAATGAAGTTAAGGAGGCTTTGCCAGTTGAGTCGGTGATCACAACAGACATAAGATTGGAAAACAGTTTATTCATGTGCTACTTTTTTTTTTGTTCTGTATATGTGCATATTTTTCTTAGACAATGGTTTTTCACATTTTGTAAGCCAAGGACCTCCACATATGATGATTTTTCCCGCCTAAATTAGCCATTTAGTTTATATATCTGAATACTGTGTGGAAAAAAAGAACAAACAAGTATTAAATAACAATACAAAATTTGATAGATGTTTTTAAAATTTTCTTTTCACTATTTTCTTTTATGTTTTCTTTTCTTCTTTTCTTTTATATGTATTTAATGTGATAAATGTGAACAGTATTTTTTGTTCATTATAAATTTAACTTTTTTCTTTTCTTTTCTTTTCTAAATATTATTATAAACTTTTAAAAATGTGATAAATGTGAGCAGTCCTTATTTTTATTGTTAATTATACATTTAACAGTTAATATTGTTTTATTTTATTATGTCATTATATATATTCTATATGAACTTTTTCAAATTCGATGAATGTGAGTTTTTATTATTTTATTTTATTTTATTATATATTTTTTATTTTATTTTAATAAAGAATTACAAAATTATTTATTTTTTATAAAAACTTTTCTTTAGACCCCCCTAACACTCTCTTTTGGGCTCCTTGGGGTTCTAAGGCTCCAGTCTGAAAACTATAATATAAAAAATTCCTATGTATGTAATATGTTCTCTCCTGTCCCTCAGGAAAAATCACCGTCCCTGCCAGCACTATGTGATGATACAACTCGGACCACCCTCACATGCTCAGACTTCAACTTACGGGCCCTGCAGCCGGACCATCGTGTGGAGAGCCTCTTGCGCTTCAGCAGCCCGGAGGAGCTGGATCGTTTCAACCTGGAGGCCAGAAATAGCAACCGCTATGGCGAGCTCTTTGGCCTCTACCCACCTATTGATGAGGTGCAGCCTTGCCTTACTTATTTTAAATACTGTTTAACAATGTTCTTTACAGAATATCCTTGAGCGATTAATTTTTGTGAACACAAGGATTCAGTTTGAAGTTAAATATTGTCTTCAATCTGTCCTTGACTGTGTACAGGAGGATGCAGTAGCGATTCGGCCCATTCCCGACTGTCCCAAGGAGCACTTTGGGCAGAGGATACTAGTGCGATGCCAGACCATCAAGTAATACTTCCTTACCATCCACTAATATTGGTTATTTTCTCTGAATGATTGGTCTGATAAATTATTTTAAATGACCTGTTACATACTTTGAGGTTGAAATGGTCTTCATAGCATATGCATAAAAATTTGGTTTAGAGTTGTGTTTGGTTTTGAAATATTGTTCTTCCTTCTACAGATTTGAGATTGAAATTGAGCCCCTCTTTGCAACCATGGCCCTCTATGACCTGAAGGAGAAAAAGAAGGTCAGTTTCTGATGCTTATCCTAAAAGCTATGAAAAAAATCTTAAATATGTGGTATAGTTTTTGTATTTTGACCCTTTAGCTTAAACCCATTTGCTTAAGCTGGGGAGACATAATTAATAAATATTCTTCCTGTCAGTGTTCTTCCTGTTAGTCCTCCCACATTCCTCCACTTCAGTCTGAACAGAGCTGGAGAGACTAATGAGAGATATTTTTATTAGCCACAGCCATAAACATTGTTTTGTCAGAAGTTAAATCAACATCTATATTTAATTTGTGTGTGTAGACATCTAAGACAACAATTTAATTACCAAGAAGTAGAAATGGGTCACCAAATTCAGTCTGAACCGTTTAGACCAAGGTCTATAAAATCAGTGAAGATGAACCACTCAATTACACACAGCTTGTCTTTACCAAAAATTTGAGAAATTGGACTGACAGTCAAGGATCTTAAGGAATCAGTGAGTTTTAATGCAAGCTGTGTGTATTTCCATATTAAATGGACAGACAGCAGATATATTTGGGAGGAATATTCTGAAGTATTACATTAATCCTCTTTAGCTTTTACTGAAGAAGGTTAATGCAAGAGACAGACCAGATGATTCATGCTAAATAGGGACTTTATGCAGCATGGGATTTTTTTTTCTATGGCTTGGTGAAGAGAGTATTTTGGATGGGAGGAATTACCCATTTCACAATGTTAAGAGCGAAAAACATAATTTAGGATGTCTGATATGCCTGAGTAAGGCTTGAAGATGAGTTGTGTCCGATTGAGTGAGATTCAGAGCTCAATTAGGGCCAAACTGTGCTAATGTTGCTCTCTTTGAGGTGTCTTTAGTTTCTGATTGGCTCACTCTGCTTGAAATTTGATGAAGTATTTTTGTTCTTTATGCACCACAATTTCCCTTCTGATTCTTTGACAATGTGGTAAAACGTTTAGCTGGCTGGTTGTTTTATGCTATCCATGCTAATCATGGTATTTTTTTCCTTCAGATTTCAGAGAACGTCCACTTTGACATGAACTCCGATCAGATGAAGGGTTTCCTGCGGTCTCACACTCCCCACACTGACCCCTCCACTTTGGCCAGATCTGCAATTTTCTCCATCTCCTACCCTTCTCCAGATATCTATCTGGTCATTAGGGTATGGTTGAGTAATGGCTACCGTATGCCTAATGAAAACGATTAAAATGCATAATTTTATTATCTTGATTTGATTTTATCATCTTGTTTTGTTGGTTTTAAATATATATTTAAAAAAAGTGATTAACCGATATATAGGTTAGGCTGATCAGTCCACAGGTATTTAGCCATTTTGACACTTTGTAAATGGATAATAAACATTTTCTTTATTTTCAGTGAAGTTTGAGTTTATGTACATTATCATTCAAAAGTTTAGGGTCAGTAAGATTAGTTTTATGTGTTTGAAGTAAGTCTTTCATGCTCACCAATTTGCACTTTTTAAGCATATATACAGTGAAAACAGTAATATTGTGAAATATTATTACAATTTAAAATAATCTAGAGGAAGCATCATATAATAAGAGACACTTTCTATGATATGGGTACTTTTTTAACAAAATTAATGTATGTTAGATAATTTTGTTGTTGATCAAACATATGTAATAGTTCTCCCTGTAGAAACATGGGATTTGTGTCTATAATACTTACAAATAGTTAAAATTTCAGAGAGACATGATTTATAAAAAATGCATCAAAAAGAGAGAGATATATATATATATATATATATATATATATATATATAGGCTATATTACATATTGTAACATTATATAATGTTGTGCGCTATCTGTCACGCCCACTGAAGGCTCCGTTACATACCCTGAAAGTAACCTCCGATTTTGTAACCGAAAGCTGAGGTGATCCGCTCGCTTATCCTCAAACATATCCGGGTATGTCACATAACCTGCTTTTTGGAATCCCCCCCAGGTTTTCTTTGGTAAACCCAGAATTTCTTATGGTCTCCTCCCCTTTTTAAAGCATGAGCGATGTTTAAATACCTCATTCATTCATTCACGCTGCAAAAATGCTTTTCTTACTGAGTATTTTTGTCTTATTTCAAGTACAAATATCTAAAAATTCTTACGTTAAGATGCAATTTCTGTAGATGAAAAAGGATATAAGGTATATTTAGTCTTGTTTCCTGGGGGAAACAAGTGCATTTTATGTAAAACATGTAAAATTGTCCGCCATAGGACAAGAAAAATAATCTTAATGCAAACGGACACAACAATATTTTTAATTTCTTATCCCACTGGCAGATAATTAGCAAAATAAGAAAAATGCACTTAAATGATTTTTCCCCCCATGGAAACAAGACTAAATACCTTGTCTTTTTTATGTAGAAAATGCATATTGATTTAAGAATATTTAGATATTTTGACTGTAAACAAGAAGACAAAAATTCTAAGAAAAAGCATTTTTTGCAGTGCATGTATTCATTCATTGCGCATATTTTCATCATGCAGACACTTTTTTTGCCATATTCACATGCATATTTACTTGAGCAGTAGCATTTTAAATGGTAGTTTTCTTTAAAACATTGGAGATGCAGAGCACACTAGTAAGGCTGCTGTATGCAGACTGATAAGGAAAGTGCACGTCGCTCTCACGGTCTTTCTGATATTTTTTTCCTGGGCACAAATCTGTCAAAGAGGAGTTTCACTGGACGGTAGGTCAGTGTTGTAGAAATCGGTTTAAATGAGGCTAATCTGATAAATGATGTTCACTTGATAACATCTTGCTGCAACCTCTGGAAGTAACCCAATAATTAGAATTTCCTTTAGGCTTTCCAGTGTGGTTGGATGCATTGATGACATGCATATTCTCATCATCGCACCTTCTGAAAATGAAGCAGATTACTGTATTGAATGGAAGGATGCCAGATGGAGGGGTAGTACAAGATATATTCTGTAACCACCACCACAGCTGTTAAATAAACACAAATTATTTACAATTTATTTGGTAATCTTTATTTTCTACAAACACAAAAGCAACAGTTATTGTTTTCCTTTTGGATTTAGAAATTCTTCTACTTGACCATCTCCTCTTCATCTGTCAGTGGTGCTGGTGCAGGTTCTCCCCCCATTTTGTGAGCCTCTGCCTTCTTGCTGTCGACTGAGTACAAGTCCGTTGTTAATTTCATTACTCTAATTAAGAAATGTAACAGGTTTGATTAGAGAATATTTAATAAGCCTATGTGAAAAGAGCGTTAAACTGTGGAAAAAGCTGCTGTGCATTGAAATGATACTGAATGATATTTAATATGTCAAATGTTTGTAAAGTCATGTAGCCTACACCCGTGAAACTTTTATGCTTAAAGCTTTACCTTGATTGAATTGTTTTTATAATTCATTTTTAGATGCTGCTACGTTCTTTTTCTTTTCTTATTTTTTTGCCGTGGGATACCATGAGAATGAAATTTAGTAAATTAATTTACAGTTTTTACCTCTGATATTATAACAGTGATTAAGAATTAAAGTTATTTATTGACTCGGAAGTATGCGGAGGGCTTTTTGTCGGTGCTGTTGCCATGGTGAATCATAATTTCGGAGGTCTATTGATCATGACTTCTCATAGTCGTGGTGCACGCACTAAACCAGAGTCAATTTAGCTTTTCTGAAACCAAAAACTCAGAGTTTCCCATCTCAGGGTAAGTCAACTCAGAGTTAGTTGAACCTCCTTATTGAAACGGGCCCCAGGAACATGTATTAAGAAACTAAATGGGATGAAAGGGTTATTTTTAGAAGTTGCATATTTTAGAACAGTGCTTTCCTGTCCTAAAAATCCAATCTTATTGAATTAGCACTGTGAAAAATAAGTTCACCTTGAGTGCATTATTCCATTCTTCACATTCTCCAGACTAACTGGTGCCTGCGTTCTTCAGCTAGCTCTAATATCACACTGCATTCTTGTAATATTCTTCCTCTAAACTGAAGAATTATTCTGGTGTTCTCCATAAAATCTTCCAGACACGTATGATTTGAAAAAATGTAATTTTTGAATTGAGCTGAGCATTTCTTGTGTGTGCTGGCAGGAAGGAGAGCGTCTGAGTGACGAGGACTTGTTCAAGTTTCTGGCGGACATCAAGAGGTCGTCCGGTCAGCGACGTGTTAAAATCATACCTGGTGAGGAGATGTTCTAACTGTGCCATTTGTCCGTTCAGTTTTAACAGTAGTGAACTGGTGATTAAAGACATTTATTTATAAGAATCAAACTTTGGCATGTAACTCATCTTGCACCATTTATGTATGTGTTGTTTGAAAGGTTTTCTGAGACTGGAAGTGTCTCCAGTGCCGGAGACGGTTCCTGGGTGTCTGTGCCCAGAACTGATTCCAGTGAAGCCAGTTTCTGAGAAAAATCCACGGGCGGTTAAAGAAGTGCTGGAGTTCCCTTCCAGTGAAGTCTATGTGCCTCACAATATATACCAGTAATCACTCTCTATCTCTCTCACACAGACACACACACATGTTGGTTTTTATGGTTTATGGGGACTCTCCATAGGCGTAATGGTTTTTATACTGTAAAAACATGCACACACACACACACACACACACATACACATGCTTGTTGTGAGTTGTCAGGCTGAGATCTAGCAGAAATGGGATGCAGTGATTAATCAGTAACCTTAAAATAATCTTAGTTCTGGGTAATAAGGTTTGTCAGAATTTGGAGTGCAGAACTGTGGTTGATATTAGTCACTCATTTACTATGAACAAATAGTTGGAATAACTGTGCAGGACAGTGTTGCCAGGTGTCATAAGAAGAATAATCAATCAGGTCTTACAAATCAAGCCTAAAATAAGAAACTTGCTTTACCTAGAAAACACCCTGTGATCAGTGGGATAGGAGGGTGTGTTTATACGTAGATGATGGAAAAAGTAGAATTGCTAAATTTATTTGAATAATTCTAGGATAAACTTGCATTAAAACAACTTCTATATGGAAGTAAGCCAGGAAAAACATAAGCAACATCCCATATTTATGACAGACTTTATGAAACATGACAACACTGGTGCAACTAGTTTCTTCCTTGTGTTCGTCACTGGTTATGCTCAACCTAAGGCTGTTCACGTGTTGTTAGATTATGTGATGTGTTTATGTACCTTGTTTGTTTGTTGTAACTGGAAGCATAATTAAAAAGATATATACAAAAAAAAAGTTTATTCCATGTTGTCAGTGTTGAACTGTAAGCGGTCTGCGCCATCTAGTGGCCAGTTAATGTTTTTACACACAGTTGTGGATTTCAAATGGAATAATTATTTTGTCTGCAAATAACTTTAGCGTTTATTTCCTTTTATGTTAATCATGTTACAGGAACCTGCTGTATGTGTATCCTCTGAGGTTGAATCTTACTAACCGTTTGACTTCAGCCAGAAACATTACGGTTAAAATCCAGTTCATGAGTGGTGAGGATCCTAGCTGTGCCATGCCTGTGAGTGCAAAACCATATTCATATTTATTCATAGATGTCAAAAATGTATTACCATTGCATTTATATTCTAATATTCACAACAACAGAAACAACAACAATAATAATAATATTAAATATTGTTCTATAACATTATGATATAATAGGAATATAATAGAAATCAGGTTAGCTGGTAGACTGAAGTGGTCCGTAAAAAAATTTAAAATGTTTGTAAAAATATTAATTTCATAATTCGATTATTGTCATTCTACCGCTGTGCAAGGTTTACAAAGATTTAAAGAAAATATGATGTAACTATATTATGCAAACTAAATTATATAATAATAATAATGTGAAATTAATAATAATAATAATGTATTGTTATTGTTGTTGTTGTTATTATTTTATTGTATGATTCCAAGTTCATTGTGAATAAATGACATACAGAATATATAAACCTTACACTTTTAAGTGACAGACCATTAAATCATAAGCCAGAATTTCATAATTGTGATTGTGTAATTACTATAGTTTAGATTTAAAAAATTATATTTTATTTATTTTTGCCCTTATTCAAAAACTGATCTCACTCACCTTCTCCTCTGCACTGTCCTAATAAAGGTAATCTTTGGAAAATCAAGCGGCCCTGAGTTTCTTAAAGAGGTCTACACTCCAGTCACATACCACAACAGGTAATCATGCTCTCTTACAAAAATTTTAGTGATCAATATATCAAGCAAATGTAAGGGTGGTTTGAGAGCGCTGTTTCCATCTCCTCCACAGGTCTCCTGATTTCTATGACGAGATAAAGATCCATCTTCCAGCCCGTTTAACAGAGAAACATCACTTACTGTTCACCTTTTACCATATCAGCTGCCAGCAGAAACAGAACCAGACTGGAAGTCTGGAGACTCTCATTGGATATTCAGTGAGTGACTGTACAGATTGTTTGTGTGTGTGTGTACTTGTTTATGCTACATTGTGGGGACCAAATGTCCCTACAAGGATAGTAAAACATGACATTTTTGACATAGTCAAAGATTATATACCCAGGGTTATAACGGTGGTGGAAGGTCGAACCAAGACTCCAGCAATGTTAACATTGTCCACACAGAAATGAGTGTCATGACTTCACTTCCTTCCCTGCAGTGGTTACCCTTGCTGAACAATGACAGGCTGCAGACTGGGCAGCAGTGTCTGCCAATCGTTCTGGACAAACTTCCTGTGAACTACTCCCTGCATTCCCCAGAGGTACAGTCAACCATTTCACAGCTGCCTTTTTTGGATGCCAATCATTTCATTTCGGAATCTTGCATTGATGTCTCGTTTGGGCACATATTGAATGATTCTTCTGTGGCTTTGTGTATTCATTTGTTTGAAAATAGTGTATATTCTGTAACTTTGGGTCTTTTTATATGCCTTCAGAAACTGCCAGCTCAGGTACCTCCTGTTAAGTGGTTGGAGAATCATAAGGGACTGTTCAACCTTGAGCTACAAGCTGTGTCCTCAGTCCAAACACAGGTGCGAAACACTCTCAGAACTCACTTCCCAGCTGGAAAGTTCAGTTTATGTAGTTTTTTGAATGCTGGTGTGCTGATGCTTCCAGCATCGCTTTTTAACTAGGTTAACTAGCAAGACCGCAAGGTCAATCAGTGTCACGTGAAAGACCATGCTGGTTGGCCATAAGCTAAACAAAAACCAGACTGAGCCCTTCTTTTCAGCAGGATTTTAAGTATTAAAATTACATTTACATTTACATTTTGTCATTTAATAGAGGCTTTTATCTAAAGTGACTTTCAAATGAGGACAATAGAAGCAATCAAAGCCAACAAAAGAGCAATAATATGTAAGTGCTATGACAAGTCTTGGTTAGCCTAACACAGTAAACGTAGCAAGGTTTTTTTTTTAAATAAATAATAGGAAAACAAGCAGGTAGAATACAAAAAGAATAGGGAATGCTAGTGTTAGAAGGTCTTTTTTGTTTTTAAATAAAAATAAAACAAGTAGATAGAATAGACAACGAAGGCTAGTGTTAGAGGCTAGCATTAGAATAGAGCATAGATAAAATAGAATTAGAATAGAAAGTGCTAGAGTTAGAGGGTTAAATGAAAAATGTTAAAATGTTATTAAAGTGTTAAAATATCAACTAGTGTGAAAAATACTAATCTGAATGAAACTGACCAACCTCATATAAAATGTATAAGGAATAAGAATGTACTGAATTATAAGATTAAAAACTAGATGAAAAAAAAGAAATTTAGAAATGTTGCCTTGGCAACTAACTGAAGTTTAAGTACTAAATAAATGTAATATATTATATTATATTATATTATATTATATTATATTATATTATATTATATTATATTATATTATATTATATTATATTATATTATATTATATTATATTATATTATATTATATTATATTATATTATTATTATCAGAAACCTATTATAAAGTAAATTAAATACCAGTTTCTATAGGTGACATTTCAAACATTTTTACTAATATTATGCAGTGAAAATATATTTCAGAAGCATTCATTAAACGAAATGGCTGTTGTTCACAAATCCGTTTATTCAATCACAGGACAGTCACCTGGAGCGTTTCTGTACTCTGTGTCACGCCCTGGAGGGCAAGACCATATTCCCTATTCGAGTGGGAGATGAGAAGATTTCTGAAAACATGTTTGAGCACGAGCTGAAGCTCAGCATCATCTCGCTGTCATCCTCCGGCCTGGAGCCGCTGGTGCTGTTTCTCCATCAGGTCCTCGACAAGCTCTTCCGTCTCATCATGCAGCCCATGGTCATCGCCGGACAGACTGGTGCGTTTCAGATAGGAAGAGCTTTAGCTTTTGTATTTCACTCACTGGAAAGACAAAAAACTCATGTTTTTAGCATAGAAGTACGTTAGATGTACTGATTTTTGCATACTGTGTAGGCGAGTATGCATGTTCAGGATTGTCAGCTGGCTTTACAGAGCTTTAATCTTGTTTTGTGCAGCAAATCTGGCCCAGATTGCATTTGAGTCAGTGGTGTCGGTTGTCAACAGTCTTCACAACAGTCAGGAGCTGGCAAAGGACCATCAGGGAAGAAACTGTCTCCTAGCAACATACCTGTACTTTGTGTTCCGCTTGCCAGACACACAACATGAAATCCACACCTCAGGTACAGTAGGGCTGTGACATCATCTTGACCGCCAGTGATGTAATTCTTCACCAATCCAAAACAATCCATTTTTTCGTGTGGGACAGAGTTTTTAGTGGCTGTGGGACTTACTCTGTTGTTGTCTGTCACTGAGCTGAGGCTTATGTTCACCAGGCACAGGAGGTCTGATGGCTCACCCAGAGAGCCGATACAGCACTCTGACTCGCGCCACGGCCACCACGGTCGGCTTCATGCTGCTTCAGTCACGCATTCGTTCCAGCAGCAACCCTGATATACCAGCACCACAGAGCCCAGAGGACGCAGAGGTCAATAACATTCTAGGAAAGGTACAGATACACAAATGCAACATCAAACTTGTGCTGGACAAAAATTCATGAGCTGGAATTTGAATTGGCCACAGAATGTTGAAACAGAATGATAGGAAGAGGAATATACTGAATTACAATTCAGTGAAATTTCATTTCATTTATTAAAGATTTAAGAATGATATTATATTATATTAATATACTGAAATTGGTATTTCATTTTGTAAGAAAAAATGATGAGGAAGATCTTGATGAAGAATAACTTTTATTACAGTCAGAATGAATCCTGACGATCCTGAGCTCAAACATTTTATACTGTATTACGTTCATCTTACCGCTATTATATTAATATACTGAAATTTGTATTTAATTTCTATATAGAATTCATATATATAAATTCATATATAAAAGAGTAATATTAAGTATTTTTTTGTATTGTTTATATATCTTTTATAGTATTTATTTATAATTTAGTCATTTTATTAGTTTTTTATAAATGTCTATTTTCATTTATTTACAGTCTTTTTTGTACTTCAGCTTACAATTATTTTATTTCAGTTTGCAGTTTTTCCATTTAATATTTATTTTATTTCAGCTTATTTCAGGAATGAATGAATACACAAATGCAATATCATACTTACATTTTTCTAGGTGTTTAGCATATATAAAGAATAATATTAAGTCTGACTGTTTAAATGCTATTATAGTATTTATTAATCATTAAAGAAATTTGCTTAAAATTCATATTTTATATTTATATTTTATTACAGATTTTCAAAAAAAAAAAAAGTTTAGTTAACAACAACACAATTTCTTAAATTAAAATTGTAATAAAAATTAACAAAATTAAAAGCGTATTCTTAGTTCTATTTGGAATGGTGCAGTCTTTTACATGCACATATACACTGACTCAATTGGCATTTTTCTTATTGTTCCCACATTTTTGGTTTCCAGCAGGGTTTAAATCTTCCTGGCAGTCGCATCTCAGCAGCTGGAAAAGTCTCCAATAGTTCACAAAGCTCAAGCACACGGCCCACAAACAGAAAGGTTGACTTGCCACTTCATTACCTAAGATGTCTGTCATTTCAGCAGAGGTTGTGTTTCCTAATAAGCAAATCCGTCTGTCTTTGTAGTTGTTCCATGAGGAGCTGGCTCTTCAGATGGTGGTCAGCACTGGAGTCTGCAGAGAGAACGTCTACAAATACGCCTGGTTCTTCTTTGAACTTCTTGTAAGATGGTTTTGATTGAATATAAACATGTTGCTGAGCAAACCAACTTGAAATTTCACACATAAGATGTTGTTTATGAGGTTTTTTTAGATTCTCATTGTCCATACGTACACACTCCAGGTGAAGAGCATGAGCCAGCATGTGTCTCAGCTGGATAAGAAGGCAGTCTCTCGTAGGAATCGGTTTTCGGATCGTTTCAAAGATGACATCACCACCATTGTCAACGTGGTAACTGCTGAGATTGGAAACATTTTAGTAAAACAACAAAAGGTGATTGAATCCTGCTGAACAGAACATAATCTAATCCAAGAACTGTTTGGTAAATCAGTAAACATGGAGCACATGAGACAAACAAGAGGTTAGATGTTCTGGAGGAATGTTATTTGTCAGTGCTAATGAGAAGAGATGAAGTGTGTGTTTATTTGTCTTCAGGAGCTAGAGCAGGCAGAGAAGGTTAACATCAGCCTGGCTTTCTTCCTGTATGACCTGATGTCTCTGATGGACCGTGGCTTAGTGTTTCAGCTGGTGAAGAATTACTGCAACCAGGTACTGCAGCTCATCTCATATACTAATGATTATCTTAATAGAAAGAAGTCATTCACAACTAATCGGTTCAGTGAACATCACAAGTTTGTCCAGCATGAACCGTTTAGGCATGGCTTTTGAAGTAAAGCAGAGTAATATTTTAGTGTGAATGCAGTCAAATATTTGGATAAAACAAATAAATGAATAAATAAAACAATATATTTTATTAACTAAATTTGATCAGTATTTGCACAAGAAAAAAATGCCACCTTGAGGTGGCCAAACAATTATTCCATGACCATGAATGTCTCTTATGATATTCTTGTATTGAGATATGACTGTATATTCAATTAAAAAAACGTACAATTAAAAAACATTAAAAACATATACACACACACACACACACTGCCGTTCAAAAGTTTGGGATCAGTAAGATTTTTAATGGTGTCTCTTATGCTCATTAAGGCTGTATTTATTTGATCAAAAATAAAAAATAAATCTAATATTGGCTTCCTATTTTAATATACTTTAAAATATAATTTATTTATGTGACGCAGTGCTGCAATTTCAATAGACCTTTTCAGCATCATTACTCCAGTTTTCAGTGTCACATGATCCTTCAGAAATCATTCTAATATGCTGATTTATTATCAGTGTTGACACTGTTGTGCTGCTTAATATTTTTTTGGGACCTATGATACTTTTTTTACTATCACTTTTATTCATTTAACAAATCCTTGCTGAATAAAAGTATTAATTTCTTTAATAAAAAGGAAGAACAAACCTGCATCACCTTGATTGAGCACCACTTATTAATATTTTTACTATTAATATTTAACTAATTAACCAGATATATTTTCTATACATTTATTTATTTATAATAAACAGATATATAGTGAACAGGATAAGACTAAAACTTGCACCACCTGCATGAGTGCCATATTAAGAACATGTGTGTAAACGACTGCACCTTGGCTCAAGCAGAACTAAAAATATTATTAAATCATCTCCCTCTCTCTCTCTGTCTCTCTCTTTCTCTGTCTCAGATGGCAGCAAAGAGCGTGAGCATGTCGACTTTGATCAGTATGAGGTTGGAGTTTTTGAGGGTCCTGTGCAGTCATGAGCATTACCTCAATCTGAGCCTGTTCTTCAGCAGCCCTGCTTCTGCGCCCGCCTCCCCGTCACCCTCCACCTCCTCACAGGTCAGTGAAGAATCATCATCTGCTGTGTTGTGTCTCATCTAACACTCACACTATTTGGCAACAATGAGTATTGCGATAAAACCTTTGTCTCTGTCACCAGACCTCCAGCTTGTGCAGTTTTCAGGACCATAAGATCGCAGCCATGTTTGATCTGTCACAAGACTTTAAGCAGCGGCATTACTTGACCGGACTGCTGCTGACCGAACTCAGCACTGCACTGGACATGGAGTCAGAGGGGTTAGTCACATTTAATGTGTGCCACTAAAGCGTTTAGTGAATTTTTCACGAGTGCGTTTACCAAACGTTATTAATTAATGTGTGTATACACAGGGGGAGAGTACAACAAAAGGCCATCAATGCCACATACAGCTTATTGTGCGCTCACGATCTGGACCAGCGCTGCTCCAGGCCAGAGGTCAAGGCTAAGATTGCTGCTCTCTACCTCCCTCTAGTGGGCATCATCATTGACTCCATCAATTACCTTGACTTCACAGGTACTGCCTTACACAAGTCACGTTGTTAATCTCAGTTAGACTTGATAGTTGCTTTTAGCCAGTGGGCCAAAATGCTGGATTATGGCTCTCTGGTGGTGCATGATGGTAGTTTGAAATGGATGGTGCTTTTCAGATCTGTGGTTTAGATGTGTGAGTGAGTATATGTTGTTTTCACAGTATCTGACTCGCGTGGCGGTAAAGGCAAGTCCGGTGGGCCTGAGGAAGATCCTGACAGCATCACCCCCATCAATCAATCTGTTGCAATGGCAATCGCTGGAAATCCTTTCAACACTTTAGCGAGAAATGCACTGGTCTCTATGGCCTCTGTGGTATAAATAGTTTTTAAATAACATAATTTTTTATAACGTTATATATTATATGATATGATATTATAATATATTAAAATAATTAATAACATAATTGACATGCGAAATAAATGAACACTAAACATTTAAATCTTTTTATTGTATAAGAAGAAAGTCTGTGGAGTGGTCAGTGCTATTTTAGTATTGTTTATATGCTATTATAATGTTTATTAATATTTCAAAATAGCTTTTATTTTAAATAATGAGTGTTCAGTTTCATTTCTGTTTAAATTGTAATCATTTTTGGAGCTTTTGTCATTTTTTTTTTTTTTTTTATATTTCTATGTAGCTTAAAATGATTTGTATTTCAGTTATAGTTTTAGCAGTTTTAGTACTTTAAGAAAAATAAGAAATTTTGCCTTAGCAACTGAATGAAAAAATAATTTTAGGTTTTTTAGGTTAATTTCCACTTTAATTCAATAAAGGAAAGTAATTTAATAATTTAATAGTTTCAGTTTTAGTTTCTGTTAACAACAACAATGAGATGAGAGTATAGAGTTTAGCATACAATATATTTGACCGCAATTGACCAATCATAATCAGGTATTCCGGAGAGCCTTGTAATATGTATGGATATTTGCCTATTCATCTGATATATTACAAAGAAACAGTAATTCTCATTTGAATATTCTTTGACGATGTCTTTTTGTCCAGACGGGGAAAACTAGCAACATGTTGACAGCAGAGACCAGTCGCAATCTGCTCATGTGTTTCCTGTGGATTATCAAGAACGCAGATCAGAATCTGATCCAACGCTGGACTGTGGACGTGCCTTCATCTCAGCTGAGCCGTCTGCTGGAGCTCCTCGCCATCTGCATCTCCTGCTTTGAGTACAGGGTAAAAACACATCAGTCACTGCTGCATCACTCAGTGACCTTCAAGAAGTGCTTAGTCACAGTGACAGGATGTACTTTGATTTGGACAGGAAGACGTCTTCTGGATGTCATTAGAAGATTTTCATGTGGTGTATTGTGTGTGTGTGTGTGTGTGTGTGTGTAGGGGAAGCAGAGTTCTGATAAGGTGAGCACACAGGCCCTGCAGAAGTCTCAGCAGGCTAAGGCGCGTCTGGAGGAGGCTCTGCTGGGAGGAATCGGAGCCAGAGGAGAAATGATGAAAAGGGTGGGAGGTGAGCTGCATCTCATGTTTTACTTCCTATCTTAGCCTTTAAAGGGTCATGAAACCCCAGACTACTTTTTCTGAGATTTTAGCAGAGGTGTTTGTGTTGCACATAATAGAAGACAATGTAAGCATCCGATAATTTTAACTGTTGGAAAAAAACTGGTTAATTTTGGTTAATTTTAAGCTTTTTTGCTTTTTTTATTTTTTATTTACATCGTGTTGACGTCACAATTTGTGACGTGGCAATGCATCAATGACGCATCGGTGTCTATTAAATTATTCATGAGACTGCGTGTTCTTATCTTATAAGAAGACGCTTTGCTTAATTATTCACAACAGCATGTGTTGATTTGCTATGACAGACGTTTCAGACTGTGAGATGACATCGCGCATGTTAACTGAGAGAAACGTTCATGGATCGAAGGAAGAAGAGTGTTTGTTTTTGCTTTGTAATAAGAGTTCGGCACAAACGCGATTCATTCACTTAGTGAGTGTAACCGTTTTTACAGCTCCGTGACACAACCCGTCAAAAGGCTTATATAAACGCCACAGAATAAGCCTTAAAAGTTCTCGGAGGTGCAACAGTGCATTTATATATATGTTTTCGATGCAGAGTGCAAATGGCTGTGCATTTATTTGTGTTTTTAACTCGATGGGAGCGAAATGAAACTGTCTGAACGCTAAGCTGTGTGTGTTGTCTGTCTCCCCTCTCCCCCCTCCGCTCCGCTGCGCACCACGCCCACTTTTTTAGCGTTTTTTTAAAACTGTGGTGAGAATTAACTAGTGCTGAAACGGGGGGTTTCATGACCCTTTAAAGGAATTGTTCACCCAAAAATGGAAATTCTGTCATCATTTACTTTCTTTCTTCCATGGAATACAATGGGTAGATTATAAAAGATTATATTTTCATTGGACTGAAAAAAATCACCAAAACAAATCACATTAAAAAAATTTATTTATTGTAATATATTACTTTAAATAAATGAATGAATACACACACACACACACACACACACACACACATATATATATATATATATATATATACAGTGCTGTGGAAAAAATTTTGCCCCCTCTTTTTTGTTTGTTTTTTTGCATATTTGTCACACTTGAATGATTTAGATCATCTAACTAATTTTAATATTACACAAAGATATCCCGAGTAAATACAAAATGCAGTTTTGAAATAATGATTCAGTAATCAGGACTGGGTGTGGCTAGTGAAATTTAACTCAGCTTTCTAAAAATCACAGTTCTTTCATGATTTAACAGGAGGGGGCAATTACTTTTTCACGTAGGGCCAGGTATGTTTGGACAGCTTTTTTCCCTTAATAAATAAAATCATCATTTAAAAACTGCATTTTGTATTTGTATTTTGTATTTTAAGTGTGACAAATATGCAAAAAATAAACAAAAAAACAGGAAGGGGGCAAAAACCTTTTCACGGCACTGTATATGTATATATATATATATAAAATTTATTTATGGGACTGAAAAATATCACCAAAAAAAAATCACATTATGTAAATTTACATACATATATATATACACACATATATATGTATAGTAGAATTTGTTCTATGTTATTTTACTAGTGAGAGTTTTTTTTTAAGGTGACCAGCCTTAAAGGGACTGTCGATGAAAATGAGCCATTGGCTATTAATTTTTTTTAATTCATTTTTTTTATAGAAATAAATACAAATAATGTACTTCATATCATGCACTCTATTTTTTTTTTTAAGCTACATGGATAACATTGTGTGAGGAAAGGTGGTATTTATTTAGTTACTTTTTACTGCAAATCTGGGCAGGAAAGACACAATACTGTTATGGTGTCATTTTGGCACTTTATATGTTACAGGATATTTAAAACAAATGACCTTTTGTTCAATACAAAATAGAGTAAATCATACGGGTTTTTGAAACCACACGTGGATGAATAAATTATGACATAACTATTCCTTTAACTGCAGAGGGGACAGTTACTGTTGGCGCAATGAATAATATATTATTTGTTTTCCACAATGCACTAAAATTATTTTTAATTTCTCGTAAAATGCTGTCTTTTTTCACTCACTGCTCCGGGTGTGTGTTCACGGTGTGTGTGTGTGTTCACTGCTGTGTGTGTGCACTTTGGATGGGATAAATGCAGAGCACTAATTCCAAGTATGGGTCACCATACTTGGCCACATGTCAAAAAAAAAAATAAAAAAAAAAATAAATTCTAATTTTACACGTTTACAGTCCGCAGACTTCCTTTATTTAGATATTTTCTAAATATGTCCTGTCTCGGTGTGTTGGCTGTGTGTTGTGCAAGGTAACGACCGGACGCTGGGTCAGAGAGAGAACCTACGCTGGAGGAAAGACCTTACACAGTGGCGCCAGACAAACGACAGGCAGGACAAGTGAGCGTAAAATAGTACCATCATTTCACGGTTCACATCCATTTAACCTGTGGCACTTCTCATTTATAGTTGGTTCTAGTTCTCCACGGCCCTAATCTACAGCTCAAATTAAGCTTTTTTTAAGACACAGCTTAATTTCTTGTTATTGTTGTTTCCTCAGATCCAAAGCAGAGCTGGATCAGGAGGCCATAATCAGTGGTAACCTGGCAACTGAGACCAACCTCATAGTCCTGGACCTGCTGGAGATGATCGTACAGGTAACACAGAACTCTTACAGTGGAAATAAAAAATATTTAGAAATTTTAGTATGAAATAATGCTTTAAGTGTTCTACTTCCAGGCAGTTCCTCTGGCCGACTGTAAGGATAATGTGGTTGGTGGAGTGTTGAAGGTTCTGCTGCACTCTCTCACCTGTAATCAGAGCACCACCTTCCTGTCACACTGTTTCAGCACCCTACGGGCTCTCATAGTTAAGGTACTGACCTTTTGTGTGCCGTGTTTATTCGTTTCGGCTGACAGTACACTAAAATGTGCTGAAATTGAATTGGTTTTTATTTATAACCATATAACAGCATTTATTATGGTTTATTTTAGTGTAACTCATTGTAAATCTTATAGCTGTAGGCTACAACGGGTTTGGTTGTCTACATGGTTAATTTCTGGTTCATAATTGGATTCTGTCAGAAAAAAACATCTGAATGTTGAGGCGAAGAAAACTTGTCAAATTTTCTCTGTCAAAACAAAAATCAACCCCCCAGCAAATATGCTAAAATACGTTATAGAGAGAGATTTACAGTAAATATGAGGTCAAAACAGGGAACTGTTTTTTTTTTTTAATAGCTATAGTTTTAAAAGTGATAAATTATGCCACCTGGCTAACATCATTTATGAAAATAGTGCGGAGGTGAATGTTTGACACATGGACTGTAATATAAGAATAACTAATAGTAAATAATTAACAATAATAGCAAATAATTGATAATAAATAATTAACATTTACTTGAAAATATAGAGACACACGTTCAAGATGTATATTAAAAGGCAGTAACCACTATAGATATTGAGGGGAGACATACACCTCAATATTCAGATTAGCAGTCGACCAATATGGATTGGTCTAATCCAGTTCATATTTTTAAATAGGTGATTTGTAAAATATTACATTTGGGCCCCTTGTGGATAATGGTTTTACATACAATAATAATTATATGATTATACTATATAATAATTATACATTTGTTTATTAAATAAAAAGACAAAAAAATAATTAAACAAAAATGAAAAAAAAAAAAAAAAGTCTCCCTACTGACTGCTTAAGTGATTAAAATGGTTTAAATTAATCATACACTAAAGTTCAAAAGTATGGGGTCAATAAGAAGTTAATACTTTTATTCAGCAAGGGCACATTAAACTGATTAAAAGTCATGGTAAAGACATTAACAACATTGCAAAAGATTTTAAATTTCAAATAAATGCTCTTCTTTTTAACTTTCTACTCATCAAAGAATCCTGAAAAAATTCCACAACCATATTAAAACTTGTTTTAAACATTGTTAATCATAAGAGATGTTTCTTGAGCAAAAAATCAGTACATTAGATTGATTTCTGAAGGATCATGTGACTCTGAAGACTGTAGTAATTACTGCTGAGAATTCAGCTTTGCATCACAGAATATTCACAATTGTACTAATTCACAATATTACTGCTTAACTGTATTTTTGATCTAATAAATGCAGCCTTGGTGAGCATACGACACTTCTTTCAAAAGCATTAAAAAATCTTACCAACTCCAAACTTTTGAACACTTTTCTAGTGTGTCCAGTATCAGCATCATATTAGTTGTAAAAATAATTATATGACAAATTTCTCATTTTCTGTTTGTTAATTCCCTTCTATACTGGAGTTGCTTAGCACAACTGCATAAATTTAGTTGTGAATTAACAAAATGTGATTATTGAATGTCTGTTTAGCACCCAAGAGCCTAAGCTTTCACTTGCACCTAGAGATATTTAACAAAGAATGAAAATTGTACAAAACATCCCCAGTCTCCCCTTTCTGTAATCATGTAATATTGAATATTGACTGATACAATAATATTTTTCAGTTTGGTGACCTGTTGTTTGAGGAGGAGGCCGAGCAGTGTGCTGACCTGTGTCAGAAGGTTCTTCATTACTGCAGCAGCTGTGTGGACGGCAACAGGAGTCAGGCTTGTGCTACACTGTACCTGATCATGAGATACAGCTACAGCTCCGCTAGTGTAAGACACCAAATAACTGATCGATCAACACCTCTATTGTTAAACAAATCAAATGTCTTTTCTGCGACGTAACATTGACAATGCCCTCTACAATGTTATTCTTCTCTTTGTCTGTCTGCTGCCTGATAACATGAGCCTGTCGCTGCTCGCCGGCCGTCCCTCTGTGTGCACCAGCCTGATGGCTTGAGTATTTCCTCTGTTTACTCAATTTCTCACCCCCCTCAGCCCTCCCCTACCAGATGGCCGTGTTGTTTGCCATCTCATTCATCTTTAATGGGCAAAGGATGGATTTCTCTCCCTGTCTGTCTGTTTGTTTGCTTGTTTGGTTTGTAAAAGGCTCCAGCAGTCGGTCCTGTCATTAGTGTAACCTTGAATAAGTCATGTTGATTTCTTTTAGCGGCAGACCGTCTTTTACCCCTCTACGCTTTGTGTTTTTATGTTTCCCAAGGCCGTTTCTCACATTAGATTAAACGGTGAAAACAGTGAAGTCAGGTTTCCGCACAAATTCAGAATTAATCTTCTCAGCGGTGTCGATGTCGAGCCGTTCTTCATGGTGAAACTGACCTAGATGCGAGATTGGTGACGTCCAGAGATGCTTCGCACATACGCTCAATTTAACATAATGGTGCCATTGAAATGATCCATTGGCAATTATACAGGGGTTAATGGGGGATCATTTTGCAGTTTCCTGATGCTAAGCAAGATGGATGGAGCATTTTCAGCCTCTGGTTCAAGCCTCCCTTGGAATCAATGATCTGAGACTATGACAGCAATGGCCGACCGCGCCTGGCAGTGTTGCGTTTTCTTTCACAGCCTAACACCTGTATCTGACAATGTAACCTTCAACAACCTCAGTAGGGCCAGCCCAGATAAATGACATGGCTCTGGTTGATAGGAACAGCTGGGGGAAGGGCTGTTTTCTAAATGAGAAAAAACCTCAGGCAGTTATCAGACCTCTGTTGTCATGATGCTTTAAGCATTCAAACTTTGGAACGTGACTTGAAATTAAAGGGATAGTTCACCCAAAAAAAGCTCACCTTCATGTGGACACATTGGCTACGTTTACATGCAACCAAATAATCCGTTTGTAATCGGATTGACGGCTCAATCGGACTGAAAAGCCTTCATGTAAACACTTTAATCGATCGAACTGAGCTCGATCTGAATCAAATTTTAATCGGATTGAAGGGGGTGGTTTATTCCTTTTCTAATACGATTGAGAGTGCATGTAAACACTCGATCGGATTGAACCACGAAACTGAAAGGACTGCACATGTGCAATGATGCAGAAATATCGTAATGACGTATGACGCGCGGAACGAACGGCTCGCCAACTGTGAAGTGGAGCAGGACAACCTCCCACCAGTCCTTGTTTTGGATTCTCATCCACAGGCAACTCGTTTTGGGCGCGGGGAGGGGCATTTTTACTGCGTGATAAATATGAGTAGCACAGCACAGCGGTTTATATGTCGTAAGATAAATATCCATATTTCAAACGTAATAAACACTTTTCTCTCACTTCCGCTGACTGTGGTACGCAGAAGACGTTCAGGTGGATGACATAGGTGTAATGCGTGCGCCTCTGAGAAATGCAGGAGCAAAGGAAACAATG